AAGGCAGCTGAGCTTGGAAGACCTTAATATAGACAAGCACAGGACATGCCCCAAAAAGACGAGACCTTCGCCCCTTGGCCCCTTCCATCTATCCATCCATCCCAATCCCAGCTAAAGTGCCATCGAATTTCAATTCAATTTGCGAGGCAAGGCATTCGCTAAGGGTGCGAAAAAATTTCTATAGCATATTTTTGCGCGCCGCGTTTGACTTGAGCTCAATGAAGGTCGTTTGGAGGGGGAGTGCGTGGGGCGTAGGGCGTAGGGCGTAGGGCGTGGAGCCCTGAGCATGGGGGCGTGGTCCAGTGTATGAGTAATATTTGCGCAAAGGGTTAGCGAGAATCGCTGATATTGATAGTCGCGAGAATAAGTAAGTCCGCTTTTGAAGGATTTAGGGTTTCGCCTCACAATTTCTCGTCTTTTCGCCTGTTTTTCTCTTTATTATATCACGTTTTCAACATAAATGCGTTAAGTGGGGACTTGGACTAACGGTTTGGGGGTACTCGAAGGCGTATTTGAAAAGCGCTTAAATTCAGCTGAGCGGCCTTCTTATTTATTTTATTTTTTTTTCTGAAAAATAAGTCTTGAGAATCGGCTGTACATCCTCTTAAATGTTATAGGCGTGTGTGAGCCCTTCTCTTTGTTGGCTTAAAGCCATATGAGCCATTCGGGCTTTCACTCGTGTTACTCAGGCGCAATTTTGATGACACTTGGGCCTGCTTCACACAGTTTCCTCTGCTCATACTGACAGGGCTTATCCTTAAGTTTATATTATTAGCTTCGAGAGTGAAAGAATAATTGAAAGGAACTTTCGTGTGTTTCATGTCAATGGAAATGGGATGCCACTTAGAAAGCAGGAGACCCCCGATAATGGAAGGTAACATTTTTTAAAATTTTTCACCCTACAGAATTAATAATAAAAATCAATAAATTGCAATCCTTAAAGAAATGTAAGCCTCTTATTTGTCTATTGTGCATTTTCTGGAAATATTCAATAAATGGCATAAAATTCTTAAAATTCATGTAGCCAACACAGTTCTTGGCATTCGTCTTAAAATATTTTTCTTTACAATTTATGTTTGCCTACACTTGGTGTAACGCCGTAGGCCAACAGATTTTTACCTTCAACATTGCCGTTTGCCCTTCCTATCCACCATCCTTACTTTCATTGTGGCAGCTGTTCCAGATTTATATGAAAAACTTGCAAGAAACCCAAGCATCGTTCTTTCCAATTTTGCTGGCGATTTTTTCGGTTTAGTTGTGAGCAAAATGTGTGTTTTAGTGGCTTGGCATTAGCATGTTGGTTATACATAAAGCTGGGCATCTGGCACAAAAACTCTTGCAGGAGGCATTGTAAAAACCTTTGCATTGCTTTGCTTCGTATTGAGAAAGAAAAAAGGTAACAAAAAATATGGTGAAATTGGTATGTTTTCGACTTTTGGCGTCGCAAATTTATGGTCCCCAAGTATGTGGCTTTATTTTTTGGCCACACCTTTTCGGCCTTCTACCTCTTTCCATATAACTATGTATGGTTAGGATAAGAATTTGAAAAAAATGTACCATATACCGGCTCTTAAAGTTGGGTACCTTGCTTAATTCATATAAATATTAAATATAATTTATATTACTTAAATTCACATACTGACACCTTTATCTATTAGCAAACTAAATTTCAATGATTAGCGAATTCAGTTACGCTGGTTGTCTTGTCGAAGTTTGCGCAATAAAACCAACTTCTTTATGGGGAGTGAAGAGCACTTTGCTTTTGGAGTAATATCGCTACCATTATCGTCTCATTTTTCTTAGTTTTCCAACATTTTTCCGGGCACCATTGGTGGGAAAAGGAGGAACTCTTTTCGCGCTTCGCCACTTCGACATTAGTTTCGCTTAGTGCGCAAAACTTGACCACATCGAACTGCAAGGCGTGTAGGAAAAACAAAAACCACTCGGCAAACTCAAGTTTATTGCCATCTTCTCAGTCTTTCCTGGAGTTCGGTGAAAAAAGCAACTTTTCTACACACGACTTTTCTGGACACTTTTCTATATATATAAATATATATATTGAAAAGTTTCTATATTTGCCCAACTTATGTTGGATACAACTTAAAAGAATGAAGTTTGGTTTTAGTTTAGAAATATCTCCTAATGTTTGCCTTGATGGTTAAGAAAGGTTGGGGCATAGTATTATTAGGATTTTTCACAAACTATAAAAGATAGAAAGTTACGATTTTTTCATTATTTTATTAGTTTTATAAATTTCTATCGAATGCTATAAAAAAAATTTTTAATTTTTAGTTCGCACTTCCGCTAGCAGAGTAATATCGTTCTTTCTTATTTTTCTTTAATTTAATGTAAACACATTTGAGTTCAAGCTGGGTTTGATCTATTATTCAATAATTTTGTGACTTTATTTACTTCCATGGTGCTGGAAACATTTTAATTAAGAATAAAATGATGTTAAATTTTTTTGGCGCTTCTTTCATATTTTCCACGTATTTCTTTTTACAGTTTCGCGTACCATAATAACCACATTAAATTTTCTAACGCCTCACGACGAGGTAAAAAAAGGGTAACCCAACCTGGTAAGCATTATGACCAAAGCCGCCCTAAAGCGCTTTTGCATAAAATTCATATTAGGCACAAGGCCGGCGAAAGAAGATATGAAATAAGTATGAATGAACACAGCAGCGAAATTTTTATTCAAAAATATAATGAAAAGGAATTAATTATATGACTCGGCGAGTTGAAGAGAAGGGTTCCAGTGAAATGAAAGATAATATTTAGGACGTCATAATAATTTACATCTAAAATATGAAATTTGATAAAAAAAATATACATAGCTCATGCGGATTAACAAAGGGCTAAGCTTAGTTTTAGTTTAAAGTCGTAATGAGAGTATCAAATTTTTTGTTGGAGTTTTTAATGTCAGAGTGGATTTTATAGAATTTAAGCGAGCTGGGACACGATTTCAAAGCGCCTTTCCTTTTTCGCGAACTAATTGCTAAATATTTTTCATTAAAAATGAAATGCAATTTCGTGAAAAAAAGTCTCAAGTGCCACACAAAAAAACAAAAAAACATTGAAAATTAATTAATGCCAATTTGTAAAAGCACTGAAATCGAAAACTTTTTGTTCGCCAGCACTTTCATTACATCGGTGGCTTCAAACAAAAATGACCCAAAAAGTGAAAGAAAAAATTCTTTTCAACAAAAATTGTTCCTAAAGTTTTTAATAGAAATTACCATTTTGGTCGCTTGGCCGTTTGGTCAAGTGTCAATAATTGGAGCCCGAAGGACCCGTCCTGCAAAGCGCGATTCAAGGAAAAGCCGATTTCCAAAAGCCCAACCCCGCAATAATTTCATTTTCCCGCACTGCTTAAGTCGCCACTCTTGATTTCAATAAATTCTTGTAATTAGCGTCAGGCCTTCTCATTTCTCATTTGGGCCAACATTTTTTGCTCTTCAGTCGATTTCGCTGTCAAAATATGCAAATTGAATTTGTTCCTCACAAAAACTCACTCAAGTGGAAGTTCAGTTGGCTAAATAAAAGGAGTCGCGAAGGTGAATTGCGAATGGGTTGGTCGTCAATTCTAGTGACCTTTTTTTTCCGCTACCCTAGCTATAAAGCTGTGAGATATGGGATCTTTGTCAGGAATTTGGCACTGTGTTAACTGCATTGGGTAATGTTGAATTGTCTTTGGAAACTTATTAATAAGGTGCTTTTCATGGCGACAAGCATATTTTGCAGTATTTTATATTAAAATGCTAGCCACAAAGCCGCAAATGTTTATTAAAATATCTTTGGACAGTATTTTTTGTTTGCCTGCTTCACATTCATTTAAGACGCAAGAAATACAAATCACGGTAAAATCATGACTTAACTAAACAACAAAGAAGGAATTACAATAAAAGGGATGGAAAATGCAAAACCGATGTCAACTAGCGTCAACCTAGAACACAATCCATTCCTCCAAGCCGTTATAACCCAGAGCCCTTTGCCATATCAAGTCAGAGTGCTGGGTGGAATTCCTAAGCAAAAGACAAAGAGAAGGACATGAAAGGGAAAATTATGCCTTTGGCAGTTTTTAAAACATTTTGCTGGCGATTTCCTTTGGTTGCCGTTTTGTTCTTGTTCTCGTTCTTGCTGCCGTTGTATCCTTTTATCGTTGCTATTACTCGCATATTTGTTATAGAATGAATGTTTTCGCCTGCGCCCCTTTGCAAAACAATGCCCTTGTTTGTTTTCCATTTGAGGGGGAATCCCGGCCACCACAGCTTGTTATGCATGTGATCTGCATATGTAGCGATTTCTCGCAGTGTAATTACATGCGAGTATGTGTGCGTGCGCTTGTGCGCGAGAGCGCGAGATGCGGAAATGTACTGAAATGAGAAATTTCCGTTTCTGGTTCCGCCGTCGGAAGTAAAACAAACGCCGATAAAACAGTCCCACGACCCGAGCACAAGTGAAATGGGGAAAAACACTCGCAAAGGAAGACAACTGAAAGGTATAAATGATTGCCACTGATAATACAAGCATGCGAAATATTGAAACCAGTTGCATACTTTTCGGCGCACAACCAAGAATTTATGAACCATTTTCGCAGCCCCGGTCAGAGGGCATAAATCGAAACAAGAGGGGGAGTTTTGGCTCCAACTGGGCCTCCAAATGCGTTTTGGGCACTAACTAATGGCACATAAATAACAACTACTAAGTAAAAAGTACTTTGATCTGGCCGCCTTTTGTGCTCGCACTGGTTTTGAGTCTTTTGAATATTTTGTAAACATATTAACATAATAAGGGACACATAAAATATTTAATAAGCAACACAAAAGTGTTTTTGAAACTTTAGAAGAGAAACAATTGAAGAACTTGCTAGTTCAGTACTTATAGAAGGGTATTCCGCGGTGCAGATAGTTCTACTCGTTAGTTTAATGTTTGTTGATTAGTTGTCTGCGCAGCCACCGCTTACTACGCACATTAAAATTATGTTCGGAGTAATGTAGTCCACACCTAGTGCCACCCACGAAAGGAACATAAATATAGGAGAAAGGCAACGCGTTCCAAATGGACGACAGGATTGTGTTGCTGGACATTGGACGCTGGACAGTGGACAGTGGACACTGGCAATTACCGTTGCCGCAGTTGTCAGAGCTACGCTCTTCCTGCTTCCCCAGGACATCACCGCCCAGGATGTCACCCCCTTTCATAATTCGCCTTGACCTGGAGTCCTGGCTTGAGGATTATTTGTGGTACCTTTGGAATGCCAAGCTACATTGCGTATACGCAGCGTGTGACCATGGCGAAATACAATAACTGCGAATTTGATTGCCCCTGCTAATGTGTGCTCGCAATAAACAATCAATTTGTTAGTGAGCCGGCTGGCCATTGCTGCATTTGGTTTATGGTAATTAAATAATAAACAATACGTTACGTGACTACAAATTTATGTGTTTTCCTGTGCCCTGTGCCATGCCAATTAGTTCAATAAAATATTATTAATTGTATTGTGCGAAGGAAGATATTAAAACAAGGCAAAGCCCGTTTTCAGTTCATTTGGGATGAACTTTTCCAACTTAACGCCTCGTTCTAAGCAGAACACAACCTACAAAGTGAGCAACATTCATCTGCATTTTATATTTCGGTTTATATGCCTGCTCGCCCTCTGGTGACAAATAACACTAAATTAAAATTTTATTAGGGTCTTTATTGTGCGTCGCCAACAAAAAAAAACACGGAAGGGAGAACCAGTGGGAAAAAACTGGGAATATGTTTTAAATGTTTCGCAAAAGCAAATTTTTTTTTGTTGTTGTCTGCCGTCTGTGTTTGCCTTTTGGGGCCAACAAACAAATGGCAAAAACACAAGGTATGAAAGAATGAAAGGGAGAATTCCCCAAATTGATTAAAACTTCATAAATTTACATTTTTATCGCCGAAGCAAGCAAATGCCACACAAAAAAAGAAAAAAACACGTAAGAAAAATGGCACTGGGGTCTGAAAATTCAACCCCAAAACCGGAAACAGAAAAAGCTAATTCAACACGTAAGAAAATAAAAAGGAAAATACCCCGATACCAACATGAATATTTACACATGCTCTTCACACGATGGGGGAAAAAAATGTTTGTCACCTGTTTTAGGTCTCTAAGCTGATTTGGATCCGAAAGCCAATGAATATGGGTATACCCGTACCCGTATTCGGAACCAAAAAGAGTCATTTGGGAACCAACTTGGTGCTGGAGTTTTTGGTGGTTGGCCTTCTCCCAAATGGGGGATAAAAGTAAATTCACATCATCACCAAAATTATTAAGCAATCAGCCTCTGTTTTTGGTCTCTGCAACCCCGGTTTTGGGTATGTAAAACCTCGCTTTTCAAGGGGTTTGTTTACCTGGGCAAAATAAAGCATGCTGATTAGGCGAAAGTGATTGAGTGCCACAAGAATTTCAAAATTAGGGTTTTCAAAGCATAATTTAAAAAGGCCCAGTTAAAGTGGCAACATGTGCTAAAATGGTTTTTCGTTTGCTAACTTTAGTTCATTGTTTAAAAGTTTAAAACTTAAGATACAGAGAGGAATCGCTAATAGTTACTAGAACTTTCGACCAAGTATTTAATTCTCATTATTATTAATATCTAATTCTAATAACATAATTGTGATTCGAAAATGTACCTAAAAAGTGGTCAAATTAAGTTTCGCTGGCAAAACTTTCAGGTAAATGCATTTGATGAAATTTTGGCCATGAAGGCAGGGAGCTGACATTTTGGGTGAGCTTAATGAAATTAAAAGACAAAGTCATTAAAAGCCAAGTTGGCATTTTAACTAAGTTGACGGGTCCGAAACTCTAAAAAGCTTTCTTAACTTCTGCAGTAATTAAAGAGTCCGCCCGAACAAAAGGCTTAAAATATAGTTTTAAGCTTATCAAGTTTGTTCGCCGATTAGTGACTTTATTTCAGGTATGGGTGGGGTCGATAAGGACTTAGCCTTAAGGTTGGCGTTTGGAGGTGACAGCAGCGGAGTAGAGTCAACAGCCATTAAGGCTATTCTGCAAAATGCAATTCAAGGAGCACCACACACACACTAACTGACACACACACTCACACTAGCAAACACGCAATCCACACACATTACAAAACATGATGGCAGCAATTACTGTTTTTTGGAAAAGTGCCCAAAGGACATGCTTAGATTGGAATAGGCAAATTCTTGATGCTCTAAAGCAAGTGCAATGGGGCGTTATCAATATGAGTTGAGTCCAAGTAATTGTGACTTTATTGTGTTAAGTGCAATTCTTTTGTACAATTCTTTCGTAAATATTATTTTGGCGTATTTATTTCTTATTATCCATTCATTCCTCTTACGCGCTCGGACTTTGCACTACCTCGGAAGAGTACCCTCTTCAAAAAAGGAAGAGGTGAAAAAAAAAAATGAAATGCAAACAGAATTCGCATAGAGGCAAAGTTTTCCAAGGATAACGAGACACTGCACAGTGTCGCACTGTGAGTACTAACCTCCTCCTAACTACATAGATTTCGGGGGCGAAGGCGGCTGAACAAAAATGCAGCCGATTCCCCGTTCCCTGGCAAAACAATACCAATGCGCAATGACCCAAAACTAAACACCGAAGACACTAAAAAACAAGTGAAAAAAGCAGCGAATCGAGTGAGCGGACGTCGAAAAAACATTACGGCCGTGCTTTTCAGTTTTGTTTTTATGGTTGCAGGGGCATCCGGCAAAAAGGACGGGAATAGAGCCATATGACGACGTTCATTGCCAGCGTTTTGCTGTTGTTCTTCTGCGTCTATCAGGTCGGTTCCGAGTCACCAAAACTCCTTCTAAACTCTTGCAAGACCAAGTCAAAGCCATGGCTCAAAAAAAAAATAATTTTTGTATGGATTGGATTACAGAATTTAAACTATTTGGGGCATTTCCACTATTTGGGGTTTTACTTTACATTCCATTTAGTGATATCAAAACATTTTTTTACTAATTTATTTTAAAATTTTGTAGAAGATTTGATTTTATAAGATTTTTAAATTTCTTAAAACAGTATCGATTAAATTGAATTTCAAAATCGGAACGCCACGCACTGTTTTTGTGAGTATGCATGTGTCTGGCCTGGCATAATCAACAATATTTTGAGTGCTTTTTGTGTGAAGTTTTGTGATTTTTTTCGGATGTTTGCTTTTTGTTTCGCGATTCGTTTTTAGCAGTTTCCCAGCCGCTGCTGATGACTATGTTTTTGTTTCTGTTGCTATTTCTTCCGCCGAAGAGGGTAACTTTTTGGGGCATTGTCTGATGACTGTCAGCTTACTGACGATTTTTTTTTAGGTTTTTATTCAATGAGTTGAGATCGTGTTTTGTTTTTGTTTTTTTAAGTACCCGACGATGGATCTCTGAAGTGGAATGCCGTGTGGCGTTAAATGTAATTGTGTTTTTCATCCGGAAGTTTATTAACTCTTCAAGCCGATCAACTGTCCAAAGTTAATATAAATAATTTAAAAAGATTTGCATTAATTATTATTCGTGGTATTTGACTTTAAGTTATTCGATTTGCAAACTTTTTTGGCTCCTTTATTTCTTAATAGGTTCTCTTCTCAGAATGCCGTGGAAAAAGTTGTGGCCACAGTTTTTCATGCTGGTTCTTGTTATCTTGTTAAAGCAAAACTTTAACTTTGCCAACTTGTCTTTACGTTCACACAGATACTTAATTCTTTATCTGCGTGTGGGTGTGCTTGTGATTGTGGCTGTGGGTGTGGGTGTGAGTGTGGGCGTGGGTGTGGGTGTGCAGCGGTGCAACAACAAATGGCCAGGACTTGGACTTTGGGCTTAGGTCCCTTGTCTGGCACATATCAAATGCAACATTTGCGCACCAATAGCCTGGCAGCTCCTAAGAACGGGTAGAAAAACAACATAAATTTCCACTTAAGTAAGTGTTTAAAAGAAAGATGCAGCCGAGCGAAGACAGCACCAGACCTCTGATAAACGATGTCTGAGAAAATGAAAATGAAAGGGGTGAGGCCAGCAATGAGCTCTTCCATTGTCCGGCATCTCAAAGGCGTCAGCCTCAAAGTATTCCAAAGGTTACATTTAAAAATTATTATTTAAATATTTCAATGTCTTGAAAGTAATGAAAAAATATTAAAAATATTTAAATAATGTAGTTGGCAGCGTGGCATGAATTTTGTATTTTTTTTAATTTAGTAACGCATGTTTTTCTAGTTTAAATTATAATAGAAGTAATGCATTTATTTTAAGTTTGAAATGTAATACTTATCGCACGTAAGGCGCTTCTATTGAAAGTGTAACATATTTATAGGATGGTATATTTATTCAAAGTTCCTCCCTGCAACTGCTGTATTTTCCCAAAGCGTACTTGTCTTTCACTCTGGCTAAGCAAATGTTTCCTGGTGTTTTCCTCCACAGACGATCTGTGTGTAACCAACCATTTAGGTACCACCCGTTCGTCTTCCGTATTCCTCGGTGGAAATATGCAAAAGTGCCAAGGCGCTCAGTTTTGAAAGTTTGACGCCACTTACTGGGTCTGGGGTCCGGTCAGAAATTTGACTTGGCGCTGCAGTTGAAGTTTTGGTTGATGGCTGAACTTCTGCGCTTAGCTGAAAAAACAAATAAAGTATGACTCACTCCCGCATTGGGGTTCCGGAGTTTGAGTTTTATCCCGCTTCTATTCCGTAATGAGAACGATCCAATTGGGAGCGGAGCGGTACCTGAAGTGGGCTTAACTGACCGTCGAAATAACGACATGGACAAATCCGCAAGTAATCCAATGCGAACAGTTCGAACATTTGGCTAAAACGATACGCTAGAAGGGGACAGGGATGCCAGGGGGGCGCCCGCAGGCAACCCAAAATAGCAGAAAAATGTTTTCCACCTCAAACTCAAACCCAGCAGCGGATGGTAGAAGTGAAAAATCAAATGAAAAACTTTCTTGCAGTCAGGTGAAATGGCAGAGCTGCTGCTGCTGCATTTGAACTTTTAGCCTTTTGGTTGTGCGAGTTTGGTTGAGTTTTCTGCTGAAATGGCGGAAAAACCCGGGCAGAAGAAACACAAAAATGGGGTAGAATGGGGAGGAAGATGGCGGCTAGAAGCCAGAAAAGATGGGCGAACATTCCTTGGAGTTGAGTTTTTGGGTTTAGCTTTCCCATCTTAGCCATTCCGGTTGCCGTAAAGCATCGTTCCCCAAAAATTCCATGGCGTATCCACCGGCTCGGGATTCTCCGACTTCGGGGGATTGGAAAGTTGTGGCGTGCAAACACATGCGATAAATGGGCGGCCATTTTAATAGGTTGGGCATCAGAAGAGGCTTCACTGTGAGTGTACTTCCGTTGCAGCAGGCTAAACTTCCGGAGCGATTTTGCCGACAGCCCAAACAAAATGAATGTGCGAGCGTTTACCTGCGAGGCTGCCGAGTCTTGAAGCCATTAAAATGCTTTTAATCAAATTAGTGCAAATATTAGCGTGTACGGTATAGAGTTACGACGTAAACCACAATTGCCTGAATGCCGGCGTTGGAATCAGTTGGAATTTTTCAAGGAAGTTGTTCCAGATTTCTGTTGCCGATTGGCAAAGGAGTACTTCAATTAGTCAAGTGACATTGAATCTGGGAAGAAATTACTCAAAAATGTGTATTCCATTTGACCAGATGGAAGGTACAACAATATTTATAAAAAATCTTTGAAGTTGATTACATTTTTTCAGGAAATAGAGATAATGAAAATAAGATCACTGATAAAGATAGATTTAATTGCAACACTTACAAAAATGAAAAGTTTAGCATGTAGTAAATATGCCTATTCATCTAATCCTACAATAGTTACTATCTAAAAAGAATTGTCAATCTAGGTAGTCAATCTCTAAATTATTAAGTGAGGATTAACTAAGATGCGAATGTTTACTTAGCTTCAAATTTAATCGTTGTCCTGCTAAATGTCCTGTGCTGTTATTGCTCCAACATTGGGCACATCGTTACATTTCCCAGTATTTTCCATCCTTAGGACAATTTCCCAGTGATTCGGGACATATTTGTTTTTGAATTCGAATTAGCCTTAAAAGCTCAGATTCTCTCTGTTTCGGCTGTGCTCCCTTTGACGAACCGCTGCTCTCTTAGAAGCACTTTTCCCACTGACCTACAACGGCTGTTCTGGTAACAGGCCATGCCCAAGTCCTGGGCCCAAAGACCGATTCTCGATTCCCAATTCCCGATTCCAAGTCGCGTCTGGGCTCGAGTCGAGTTACATAGTTCAGAAAATGTTGTGATAGGTTGTGGGCTGCTTTTGGCCCTCTGAACACGCAGCATCACTTTGGGCCAAGTAGATACGAACACGACCAAGTGGGTCGTGGCTCAGTCTGTTCGCAATGAGTTGGCTCAAAGTGATGACCGAAATTCGATGGAAAGTGCGACTATCAAGCAGTTTTCCATGAAAGTTGTTTTGGGCACTATGTGTTTTAGTTCCAACTTTAATTGAAATTAAAGCAGTTGGGGAATTCAATTAAAAATGTGTAATAACAATAATAATTCATGCATATTGAATGACTAAAAGCATATAAATACGCATTTTCCGTTACTCAAATACTTTGTTTATGTTTATTTTCTATATTATTTATTCGTATTCCGCGGTTTAATACTACAATTCACACTACTATAAATAACCACAATCCATTCAGGGACATTTGCTATATGAGTACATGAATAATTGGCACCCTGCTCGAGTCCTACCTCAAAATAAGTTTTGTTTGAAAACCCAGCGTGGATATAAAATAATTCAAGCGACTGGGGGAGAAGTGGAAAGCTCATTAAACACTTGCCAAATCACACTTATGCCCCATTAGAGCACAAAATAAGCGAAAAATGGTAGAAAAGGCTAAAAAGTAGGGGTGGTAGTGCCCATCGGGAGACCCACAATCCCAATCCCAATCTCTGTCCCCGATCCCAGGACGACCAGACTAGACCCGAACTTTGAACCCAACAAATAACCTGCGGCGCGGCAGCTCTGCCAGATGGAAATGAGGCGAACGATGGACAGCATGGGTTTAATGCCAAAGCTGACAAAACTAACTCGGCTACTTTAACCCCTGCTGACCAATAAAGCCGCTTGTGTGATGTACGGTACAACAATGAATTTTAGCCAGCAACACATGTTCAAACCGAAGCAGTGGAACACCGAAGCCGGGAGTGGTTGGATCCCAAATAAAATTAAGCACATTAAAAAATGCTTCGCAAATTTACAAATCTCTGGGAGAGATAAAACGCTCGATTAACGAGGGGAATACACGGAATTCAGGGAATATATACACCAAAAAAGGTTAACGAGAGCAGAATTTGTTGTGAAAAATTAGGTGGTACGCAAGGGTTTATGCCCTGCTTCCAATCTCATTTTCATATGCACATATTAGATAAGCCCCACACTCATGCTTCCAGTTAAAATGCGCTGTTACAATCTCATTACCTTCCAAACTTTAGTTTCAGTTCCCGTCACATTCCTAATAGTTTTGACCTCAACAACCACACAAGCATCGCACTCGCTTTTGCATAAAAATACGTGTATACATCGGTGTGCAAAACAGAAACTCAATTAAGGACCTTATTAACTCGTGCTTTTTCTGGCCAGCTGCAAATGGGCTTTGAGTAATGAAGGTGAACTTTCAGACAGCAAAATAAGTATAACTTGCAAGCAATATTTAATTGAAATACTTTATTATTTTTAGTTATGCAAAACAGAAAAATAATTCAAATATTTTATAAGTTTCGCTACGAGGAATTAAAGGCTGCATTTCATAAACTGTTCAAACTTTAAACATTTAATTACGAAATCTTTTGATGCTATTTAACATTTAAGTAAAGACTTAAGACTAAGTAAGACTATTTAATGGACATGCTTTGGTTATTAGGAATGGGATAGGTTAATAATGTATGACCTAAATTTTAAGGTATAGTGTCAATAAGAAAAATAAATTGCGCTGCAAGGGGAGCCCAAAACAGGCAGTCTCTCAAAATCCCAGTAGAAGTGAAATCAGTTACTGCGCACCGGAAAAGCTGGGAAAAGCGGGAAAACGGCATTGCCTACCGGGGAGCCCTTCATCTCAGCCTGTGTACACAAATTATGCGTAATAATTTTATTTGCATGTTTTATTTAATTTTTCATGCCACTCTGATTACGAAATTGAATTGGCAGCTTAGTTTTATGTGCTCAGCTACTTGAACAGAGGAATGATTTCAATGGCCAGGTGGGCGAATCCCAGCCCCCGTTGTCATACAATTAGCAAGGTCGGATGGATATAGCCAAACAACACCCACACACCAGCCAAACAACCAAGCACCCAAAACACCCACCCACCATCCAACCAAAGCGGCTACAACCGAATTCCAGCAACTTTCTAATGATGTTCGTCCGAAATTTCGCTCTGGTCTCATCTTCAGTTTCATTTGCTTTGACGTCGACATCGTTTTATTTTACTGATTTTCTTTGTTGCTGTTGCTGTTGCTGTTGCTGCTGATTTTGTTGTTTCTTGCCTTTCTTCAGTCACCCGAAATTTAATGCTGAATCATTACCAAGGAGAAAATGTGGGCCGAGATGGAGAAAGCGTCCCCCAGTTCTCCTCCTGCCTGGCAACTTAAATGCGCTTAAAATTAAATCTGATTTCATGAATATTGATTGATTGCTTTTACCTTGAATGAAAATCCGCTTCCGTGCTACTTTTTCTTGGTGGTTTTCTCCTTGTTGCCTCCTCGTACCTGGCCGCACATCCTGTTTTCCCGGTCCCTCTATCTCGGCATTGTTTGGCCTGAATTTTCCACACCCACTTGGTTTCCTTTTTGGGTAAGTTAAATTAATGAGCTTGAGTTGCCGCCTCACGGCAGCTTTCTTTTTCTTTTCGACCAAATTTTTGTAAAATATTTTGACCAGAAATAAGTTGATTTAATTGAGTGTAAGGATTGCATCTTAATTTGGAAATATTTGCAATATAAAAATATATTTTTTACAGAGATACCAGAGATTTTTTACCATATGCAACCAGCACACGTTTTTGATCCCTTTTAAGTAGGAATAAGTTATTTTCAAGTACTAAAAATTCAAATTTAAATTAAGATTAGCTAATGCATTTAGATTACAGGCATTTCAAGGGATTTTGTCTGCCGATTTCCGCAATCAGCCGCAGACAGTCAAAAAAATTGATAAAGAGAAACTGGTAACACAAATAAGCAGGCAACAGAACAACAAGGAAAACGAATTTCCTGTTGAAAAACAATAATAAATAACAAAGGAAGGACACACCACAAACAGACTGAGAAACACATGCAAACAAGCTTAGAATAAGACTGGGAAATACGCAGAGAAGAAATGGCAAATTCTCGTTGAAGGGAAACAGCTGGAAAACGCACTCGGAACGTCCTTCTATTTTGTTTCCCTGTTTTCCTTTTTTCCTTATATTAAAATTTCTTTTGCTTTCAGCAGCTGGCATAGGTTCGATGGATGAGAAGGATGGGGTACAAAATATTTTACTTGTCTGTGGAAATCAAAACTCGGTTTTTATTTTCTCATAGATTTTTGTCTTTTATTTTTGTCATGCCTCGATTTTCTTTTCGGCTGTTCTTGAGGCGATTGGGCGAGTGTGTTTGTTGCTGTCAGTTTCAGTTCCGCTTTTGGTGGATGCCAACTTTTGACTTCCTGTCAATGGTGACATCTGCAGCGGTCTAGCTGACCTTTCTCTCCATCGCTTTTCCCCAATTTCCAGACTGGTTTCACACCGCACTTCTCCTTTCCTCAATCGAGTAAAGGGTTCGCCATTTTTTTTAGCGTTTCTCAATGTCTTTTAACCAAACTAACCAAAAAATAAATGTAATTTGTATATGTTTGTTCAAAATTCTTAGTTGCGGCTTTGTTTATTTTTAATTAGGGATTAATCTATTAATTGCGATATTTTTCCTGCATGCAATTTAAAATTCGCTACTACTACTACTATCATCATTACCATTTATATAAATAAATAGTACGGGTTGAGTATTTGTCTTTTTAGTTTTATCCTTAGATGGGCTTCCTAAATTTGTTTTTACCGAATTATTGTTAAGATTATTATGAGCATGAATTTGATAATTAATATGCTGTTGAAGATTTTTTTTAGTATTATCCGCATATCGGTTTCCTAAGTTGGTTTTTCCCGAACTATTGTTAAGGATATTATGAGCATGTTTATTTGTATAGCGTGTATAAGACTTTCTGTCCGAACCGCTGGGTGCCGGATTGAATGGCTTACTATCTATCGAATGACTTTGACTATTTATTGTGGAAGTTTGACCTGCCCCAATATTCGAATTTTGATTGTTCGTCATAGAGAATCCACCCTGTTTTTTTGGCACCAAGGTATTGCCACCCGCGTTACCAGTTGGCTGACTGTTTGTGGCAGTATTTTTTACACCTGCATTGCTGGATGGCTCGTTGATTTGTTCATATGGACTGGCCTCAAACTCTCCTGCATTGTATCGCATTCCATAAATTACCTGAAAACAACGTGTTTTTGCAATGAGGTGTCACTCCAAAGAAAATAATGTTTGGTCTCACCCTATTTTGGTCACAACAAGACTCAAGCCGGTGGCAATGCCAGTTGAATTGGGCAGCGGGATTTCTTGGCAAGCTGCGACCATCGCTACAAAATTGCGTAGGCACGCACGCATATATCTTGTTTGGTCCACAATATATTCCAGCCTGGGCGGTACTAAATAGAAGAAAGCTCATTAGGACTACTCCCCATTGCACTGACATTGTATACCGAGAACTCATAACTGAGATCGCACTCGAGCAAAGATTGGCATTTATACCGCTCAATGAGTTATCTTTTCTTGGAAGTGATTGCTACGGTTCTTATCGGCTTTTGGTTATTCAGAGCTTGCGTGCAATATCAATACAAAATGTTTGTATTTTCCCTATCAAAAGGCAAGTCATTTTCCCTTGATCTGAGCACCCGGAGCTAACATATTTCATTTTAATACGCTCTATACAAATTGTTTATCTTCTAAATCAAGCCCTGAAATGCAGTTACGTAAATTGAATATGCAGTATCGGAAGGAGATTCATCTTTTCGTAACTTGGAAACTAAGCTAATGCGGGTTACCAAAAAGTAGAGCAGTAAAGGGCATCCAGGCTCTGCTTTGCACTTTTGCGACCCACAAATCCATCTTCTAAGGCACCTTCGTTAACCTAGATTGTATGGCAACAGCATTTCCATGGAGAGCGCGTTAACAGCGAGAGTTTGAAGTGTGTGGGTTAGTTAGAGCGGGAATGGAATCCTGAATAGAAACCCAAGGAAATATAATGCACACTGGCCGCAAAAGTGCTGGATACTCTTTCTGTGCTCTTGACTGTAGCAACAATGCGATGCGGATGGTTAGAAAGCACCAGGAAACGGCAAGAACGATTCCACAATCGAATTGAACAAGGTCTAACAATAGTAACTAAAAGGACGTTAGTGGCTTAGAAAATTTTGGTTAGTATTAAAGACCGTTTTAAGTTATTTAAGTAAATTACACTGTGAGTCGCCGACAAATGGAAGAAGTATTTGCCGCATAACTAATACACAAAATCATAAATCAGTGTAGAAATCATATGTATGAGTTCAGCAAACTCCGTGTACTCACAACAAAAATATGATGTAGAAATACAGACATGAAGTGCAGCCAGAATGGGGATTCACGAAGGCGCAGTATACGTTAGGACACTCAGAATATGTGTTCAAGTTTTGTGAGATTTTTTTTGATTTTTTCTTACTCTGCTGGGCAAAAATACAATTTCCGTATAAGTTGAAAAACAAACAAGTTTCTTTCGTCTGCCAATTTTTAACGTTCTGCCAGACTTAACCCGAAAAAAGAGACTCTTTCTGTCTTGCTCGTCCTTTCTCGATGAAGCAAAAGTAAATTTCCACTTGCAGTCAATAATCAACTAAGCATAAAATAGTATTTGAACTATTGATGCAGCAAAAATGTGCTGCTTCCCTTCCCCGACTTATAGCAGAAATATGGCAAAAACAAATCTGGGAATCCGCTTTAACTTGAGCATGGACTCTGCCAAAGTTTGTGGAATTCAAAACTTTGTATTTTATATACAGCCGGTAATGCGTATACTTGATATTCTGCACATGCTCTCACTCAATTGAAGTTCAATTATTTTCTTGGCAAATTTCTATTTGTTACGCACAGGTGTAGCTAAAAATAATTGGAAAGGCCGAATGCCAAAATTATTCGGGTTAAAAAAAGTGGTAAGTGGTCGAAGGGAATGGAAAAAGGGACAGCGGTGACCTGTAGGCAAAAGATTTCTAGCTAATTTGCGGCAATAACATCAAAGCTGCTTTTTGGCCTTTTCAGTTTCCCTTTTTTCATCCCTTTCCCAATTGGCCTTGTACGCCTTTTTTTTTTTGGTCATAGGACATTTGGTTGATGGTGTGGTGCGCACAACGGACGGTTAAATGTTGCGTTAAATATTTGTAAGGGCTTTTGGGACGAGACAGCTTTAAAATGTCCGAATTTAAGAAGGTTCATGAGGCAAATAAACCAAATATAAATCATTTTCCTTATTCGAGGTCATCTGCGTTCATACAAATAGGCATACAACAAAAATAAATAATAATAGCTTTATTAAGCAAATAATATGACAACTATAAATGTACTAATGGTCATCTTGGATTTCACAGTCTACTACAACTGATCCGAAAATGTTGCAAAAAACTATAATAAAATTATGAACAGTTTGGTATAAAGATTTATATATTTTTTTCTATTTTATCTTATGAGCTGTTTCGCTTCTCCATCGTCATTCCATTTTGCCTAGCTCCCATATTTTTAATTCTTTTGCCTTTTTACTGCCGCTCGTCTGTAAAGTTATAACCTTGGTTTTTTCTTATCTGATTGTCTTCTACTGCAATTATATGTTTACAACTTCTGCTGGCTTTTTGGGGTCTCAGCTTCAAACATTTAATAAAAAAGTATCTTCATCTTGGGACGTTCCTTGCTTTCTTTTGTATGAAATATATTTATAACCAATTTATTAATTTTGGTCTCAGTAGTTGAACATGGCTTGACACTGGCGTTCCTTTAATAAATGTATTTACTTAGGACAAACCTGAAGCTGGAAGAATTTCCTAAATATATTAACAGTATAGCTCATTGAGTAAATGAAAAATATACAGGCTCGAAATATGCAAACCGAGATAGGCGGAAAAAAGGCAAAGGATCATTGGGCACAGGCAAACAGCATACCGAATGGCACACAAAACCCAAATCCAAAATGCAATGAAATGTAATGGAAATGAAAAAAAAAAACAGAAAAACTATTTGCGATGGGTACATGTGCACATATGAAGTTGTATAAATCCATGGCTATGTCCTATCGAACTCTATACGATAATTCATTAGTGGCTTCAACGGACCGTAAAATTGAATTATGCTTTTGTTGATGATTTCATTTCGTTTTAGCCGTTTCACAATTTTCATTTACCGATTTTCATTTCGGGGCTCAACGAACAGTTACGTATAATTAGAAATTCGCTTTTTCGCTCTACTTTACAAAAATATTTTCTTTAGCCATGGAATAAATGATACTTACTTGTTATCTTACATGCAATTTGTAATTTGCCAGATAATTAAATTTACATCAAAAATATTTGTGTAAATTTATTGTTTCAGGTATATTTAGTTCCCTTGCAAGAGATTATATTACACTGTGGCTCCGAACCTTGGACTCCTAAGACTATAAATCTAGCTAAACACATTACTCACCAATTGGGCGACCGCCAACCAACAAATAACGGCGTAGACAGAGTATTTATAACAACTGCGGCTAATGACACCCCAGAGAGAGGAAGATATCTACCCTATTCCCAACGAATCCTATGGTAAGGTTCCTTTATTCCACTCCAGTTGTGCCCATGAAAACATTTTTGTTTACCTATCTGCCGATGGCAACAGGAAGCCAAGCAGTGCAGCCTCAGAAGTGCGCCAAAGTAGCCGGTCGACTCCACTGGCCTCGATTCAATTGGGTTCCGGTCAGCGGCAGATACGGATACAGCTACAGATACAGATACAGATACAGATGCGGACACAGAGCCAAGGCTAAAGCCAGATCCCGGGCGAAACTCGTTTGCAACAGGAGCGATTTAGGGGATTTTCACGTTAAGCGTTGGCTGTCAGCGATTGGCAAGCGGCTTACAGGTGGTCCGCCACGCCCTTGGTTGGATTCAGTTTTGTTCTGGACCATTTTCTAGGTTCTCGGCCTGGTTTATGGGCTTAGGCAGGAAGTGACCTTAGCCAAATGAATGCTGCACGAGAACGGAATATCAGCGCAATATAAATTCATTTTATTTATATACAGGTTGCAATATGTACTTTTACATTTTACGCAAAGGTCAATTAATGCTAAGTAGGCATTTAATTCACTAATATATTAGCTATTGTTTTTGACAGTCCACTATTTTCTTTTTCCACAAAACCCAGCTAAAATAATTCTATGGGCTTATCAGCGCAAAATCATCTCCGTATGGGTTTATTCGAAATATTGAATACAGCCGCCTCGAGGGTGCAAAATGTCAATCAATTCTGTCGTTAAAAATGAACAGGCCGGAATGGGAGAAAAATGATATACAATCTATTATATACTGCGCCGCCGAGTCGAACAAAATGCCAACTGACCTTCAGTCAAGAGTTAACCCTTTCGCACATTTGCATATAAAGAGGGGCCCGTGGAATGGGAGCAGGCTGTTAAAAGACGCTTTATGTTGTCAAGAAAATTGGAGAAGGAGGATACTTTATCCCGATTGTCATCTGGTGGCCATTGACTTGGGTGAGGTGGGTGTTTGCATATGGGGACTACACACATTTATCAAGCATTATCTGTTTTTCACCCGCCTCCTTTTTATTTTCCTTATTTATATTTATTTTTTTTATTCTTTTTAGGCTGCCGAAGAGATAACAGCTGCACTCAATTTGCATAACACACGCTTTGGCTGGAAAAAGTGTGAAAGCGAAAATGTTCAAGTTTATACAGTCGAATGTGCGGGGAATTTTGTGCAAGGACATACAAAGTAATATAAATTATGAAACTTTTTAAAATCAGTTTGTAAAGTTGACGCAGGTTGTCGGAGAATCAGATATTTATTTTTTGTCGAAGTCTGCCGTTGTCAACATATTGAAATATTGATAAGAATTAAATGTGATGAAGGTTACTTATATGAAGTTTCTGAAATGCTCATATCTGGAAAAGTGAAGAGGTGAAAAGTTGTTGATGGAAAATGAAGACTATTATGTTTCCATTTTAATGGAAAGACTTGTGTTCTGAGTTTCAGTATATTATCCTATACCCGTGTGTTGAGAAGTATTTAAAAAAGTGTTATTGCTTTAAGTTGTTCTAAATTTGTGTTCAAAAATACTGTATAATTATTTAAGGTAGAGTATACTACGAGTTCCTTTGATCAATTTTGGGTACTAAGTTCCCGTTTCCCCTATGACTATTTAAGTGTGTCTTACACCAGTTTTAGCGGTATTCGTGAGAGTTTCTTGTTGACATGAAAGTTTCGCATTTCGGGATTTAAAGGCTCCCCTAGTTTTATTTTTCTTTTCACCATGCTGCTGTTTGTTGTGGACTTATATACCACGAATTTGTTGCGGCTACAAATTACAAATTGATTATACGTTCAACAAATGTGTTAATGTGGCATTGTTGGCCAACTTTTCTGACCATGCAGGCAAAGGACATGGCGGGACGAAGGATGGAACTCTCCA